TGACATAAACAATATTAATAACATTGAAACATGATATATACTCTAGAATGAATAAAATATGTCATTACGTATATCATGAGTGGTGGCGGTGTTGTTGGGTCATCAGGGCCCACTGACAGCATAAGCCGTATAGTGGTGGTGGCAGTGGCAGTGTTGTCAGTGGCCCTACGGGTCTCCCTCAACATTTGCGGGGGTTAGGGGATCAAGAACCTCGCAAATGTTGAAAAAATCGTTAATGTTTGGTGCCCCAATATATTGTAGGGAAATATAATACAGTACTGCTTCCTGAACCTATTGAACCATGAACAATCATAAAACACATGAAAACATCGTAAAATATTGCACTAGTGCCAGCCCTTTGGTAAAGAAGGTGAGAAAAACTACAGAATTCAAGAAAGAACTCGTAGCAGAGTACCAAAGTGGAGGAGGAAGAGAGAGGGGAGAATATGCCTTATTCAGTGATTCTACGATATGTACGATACTACAGCAGCATAAGTCGATAAAGGTTATAGCACCAGCCAGCGATAAAGTGTAGCATTAACAGTGTAGCAAGTAAGTTAAGCGATTAATCGATAGAAAAAGGACAGCAGGAACCTAACTCCTCCAATGTTCTTGGAGCCGGGCTCAGAGAGTAGATATACAGTGGACCCCCGGTTAACGATATTTTTTCACTCCATAAGTGTGTTCAGGTGCCAGTACTGACCGAATTTGTTCCCATAAGAAATATTGTGAAGTAGATTAGTCCATTTCAGACCCCCAAACATACACGTACAAACGCACTTACATAAATACACTTACATAATTGGTCGCATTCGGAGGTAATCGTTATGCGGGGGTCCACTGTACTCTCGAAATTCTTCAAAGGTATATCAAAGGTACACCGCCGTCTCTAGTCTCTACTGCCTCTGATGCTGCCTCCACCACCCCTATGTACGGCTTATGTTTCAGTGGCCCTTATACACCCATCAACAACACCACAACAACACTCGTGACATAATGACGTATTTTATTCATTCTAAAGTATTTGTCATGTTTCTATGTTGTTAATATTGTTTATTATGTCATATTAGATAAATAGTGATAGATAAATAAGCCATAGAGTTGATATTAGTGTCATATTGAAGGACTATCTTGTCCTATCTCCAAACAAACTCTGCCACCACCACAATTCCTAAGATATGTAATGACATACGGTATTTTAAATATGATTGGGCGGCTGGGAGTTTGCGAATGTTCGAAGCCCGTTGAAGTGGAAAATGTGAATGTTGAGGGAGACCTGTATATACCTCTAATAACATTGGAGGAGTTAGTTTCATGCCCTTTTTCTATCGCTTAATCACTTAACTTACTTGCTACACTGTTAATGCTACACTATCGCTGGCTGGCACTATAGCCTTTATTGGCTCCTTTTACTTTAGTATCATAAATTTTGTAGAATGTCTGAAGAAGGCACATTCTCCCCTCTCTCTTCCTCCTCCACTTTGGTACCTTGCTACGAGTTCTTTCTTCAATTCTATTGTGTTTCTCACTTTCTTTACCAAAGGGCTGGCACTAGGAAGTTTCTTTGGGCCCATGGTTAATTATGTAGCAGTTGCACTTAATCAACAAGCACAAAAAAAATGGAGTATTGTGAAATGTCTGGATGAAAGCACAGGGTAATGTTCACTCGAGGAGAAACAAAGCCAGACTGACTTGCAACGCATGCATGGGATGCTTTGTGTGGGTGTGTACAGGTGTGGTACGGCAGCCGAAACTCAAGGCACTCTTCGAAACTCAAGACAAAATTTAGCTAAAAAAAGTAACCGAAACTCAAAATGGCCGAAACTTGGGGCGGCTGAAACTTGAGGTTCCACTGTACACTCTCTCCTCACTTAGTGACGTACTCGTTTACCAACAGATGACTTGGACTTACAACGGGCTCTCTTACCAGTATGCATACCTAAATAATGTATATTAGAGCTGATTTCCTCTATTCTGTTTATTACAATATACAGAACACTGCTGTATAAACATTTAAAAATACAGTGGACCCCCGCATACCGATTTTAATCCGTGCAAGAGGGGTCATTGTTATGCGAAATAATCGGTATGCGAATGAATTTTCCCCATAAGAAATAATGGAAATCAAATTAATCCGTGCAAGACACCCAAAAGTATGAAAAAAAAAATTTTACCACATGAAATATACATTTTCCTACACACAAAGAGAAGGATACATGCACAATAGTAGAGTAGTACATGCACAGTATATATTGTGCATGTACTAGTCTACTAAATGAAGAATAAATGACACTTACCTTTATTGAAGATGCAGCAATGACTGATGAGACACTGTGTCCTGGGAGTGCCTTTTCCTCCTGAGTACTGTAGGTCCTGTTTGGCATTTTCTTCCAGAACATGCCTTATCACACTGTGTATGCCACTACGATTCTTAAATCTCTCAAACCAACCTTTGCTGGCTTTAAATTCACCAATATGAGCACTAGTTCCAGGCATTTTTCCCTGTTCACCTGGGTGTTAGTCGACTGGTGTGGGTCGCATCCTGGGAGACAAGATTAAGGACCCCAATGGAAATAAGTTAGACAGTCTTCGATGACACTGACTTTTTTGGGTTATCCTGGGTGGCAAATCCTCTGGGGTTAATTGTTTCTTGGTATTCTCAATAAGCCACACCAACAACGGTGCTACAGCAGCAGCAGCAGCAGCAACTGACGGTGGTACAGCAGCAACAGACGATGCTACAGCAGCAGCAGACGATGTTACAGCAGCAGCAGACGATGCTACAGCAGCAGCAGCAGCAGCAGACGATGCTACAGCAGCAGCAGACGATACTACAGCAGCAGCAGCAGCTGACGGTGGTACAGCAGCAACAGACGATGCTACAGCAGCAGCAGACGATGCTACAGCAGCAACAGACGATGCTACAGCAGCAGCAGACGATGCTACAGCAGCAGCAGCAGCAGACGATGCTACAGCAGCAGCAGACGATGCTACAGCAGCAGCAGCAGCTGACGGTGGTACAGCAGCAACAGACGATGCTACAGCAGCAGCAGATGATGCTACAGCAGCAGCAGACGATGCTACAGCAGCAGCAGACGATGCTACAGCAGCAGCAGCAGCAGACGATGCTACAGCAGCAGCAGCAGCTGACGGTGGTACAGCAGCAACAGACGATGCTACAGCAGCAACAGACGATGTTACAGCAGCAGCAGATGATGCTACAGCAGCAGCAGCAGCAGCAGACGATGCTACAGCAGCAGCAGCAGCAGCTGACAGTGCAGCAGCAGCAGCAGCTGACAGTGCAGCAGCAGCAGCAGCTGTACCACCAATAGTAGCGATGGTTGATTGGGGTTTATTATACAACTTGGCCAGCTCGGAGACACGCACTCCACTTTCATACTTATCAATGATCTTTTTCTTCATCTCTATTGTAATTCTCACCCTTATTGCTGTAGGGTTGGCACTAGAAGCTTTCTTGGGGCCCATGGTCACTTATTTTCCAGAAAAAGCACCGAAAACACTGTAATAATACGAAATATTCCGATTGTATGCTTGGATGTTACCGCGGAGGCTGGCTGGTAAACAATGCCACCGGCGGCACATGTGAGGCTGGCTGAGGGCGCGCATTGGACGCGTCTCGGACGAAAATCGGTGAGGGGGTTTTTAAGCGGTATGCGAGGCAAAATTTTTGCGATTAAAGCAAGCGGTATGCGGATTAATCGTTATGTGATGCCATCGGTATGCGGGGGTCCACTGTATACCAGAAATGTATAAATGGTGCAAAAGTGACATTAAAGTATCAAAGATGGTTGACACTAACCCACTTCCATTATAGTATGCTCCTCACTTAGCAACAAATTCATTTACTGACATGGTCTTAGGAATGGAACTCTGTCATTAAGTGAGGAGAGGCTGTAATATAGATATTTATCAACCCAAATGCCAAAAAAGAATTGGAAGCTCATGGAACAGGGAGAGTGACCTAATAGCGACCAGTGAAGTGGAGGGGCTGGAGCTGTGACTCAACCCTTGCAACCACAGTTAGGTGAGTACACACACACATTCATTCATTCTTGGTAATGTCTCATTTACAGTAGATTATGCTGCTCAGTTCTGGTCTCCTATCACAGAATGAACATGCGAAGTTGATCCTGTGTACCAGAAGCTTTCCCTACAAAGATAGACTGAAGGCACTGCATTTGCTCTCCGGAATTGCATATAATTTTGGAGAATATGATTGAGGTGTATAAATGGAAAACCAGTAAATAATAGGAATATAAATAAGTTACTGAAAATATCTAAACAAAACAGGATTCGTACCTCCTTTTCAGTGCATGAAATTACTGCCTCTTTTTCTTCATCAACATTTCAGAGCTCCTCAAAAAATATTCCTGCCAACTTCCCAATACCTCCAGCTCCCCATCTGATAACTCCCTTCTTCTATTTTTAACTGCCAAGCCCATTTGTCTATTATTCTTTCTCAACTTATTAATCTTACTCCAAAAAGTTTTCTTATTATCAACAAAATTTGTTGACAGAACCTCAACCACTCTCTCATTTGCTCTCCCTTAGACTACCTCACCACTCTCTTAACCTCTCTTTTTCTCTCCACATACTCCTCCCTCCTTATATCACTTCTGCTTATATCACCTTATATCACTTCCTCTCATATGCTAACTTTTTCTCCCTTACCACTTCCTTTACCTCGTTATTCCAGGTTATGGGTCACCCCCCTCAGTAATCATCGTATTCATTCTCTCTGGGAAGGGTTCACAAGGCACTAGAGACTTCTAATTGTAAAGGAAAAATCCATTTTTAATCTATGTTATGAATATTGCTTTTTAGGTTCTCATTGCCAGATGAGGAAATGGCCAGTAGTTTAATTACTATTTGATTAATCATATTCCACCCATTTCAGTGTGGGAAATAGTAACAAAATGTACATGTAAGTATTATGTATTGTATTTTAATATTTTACTGAACTGTACTTGCACTTGCAGATGAGGTTACTGAGGAAAAAATGACGACCAGGAAGCGAGGGAGGTTAGAGGTCTCTCCCACATCCAGTGCTGCATCAGTAACTCCACCTGGGACTGGGCGTGGAAAAAGGAGGAATCTCAGACACGCCAGTCCGCAGTCCACACGGGAGTCGCCTCCAAGAAAAACTCGTCGAAGTGCTGCTACACCAGACACACCTCAAAGAACTAGTACCAGAGGACGTGGAAGAGGCCGCTTACCTGCTGCTACTGCTAATGAATCTACTAAAAGTGTATCGTCAAGAGGTAGAGGCAAAAGAAATCGAGGTGGAAGTACAGATTCCAGTCCCAGAAGCGTTAGAAGCCGTGTTGCATCTCCCTCTACTACAAGGAAACGTGGACGGAGAGAGAGTAATAGCTCAGGTGTGAGTGTGGCATCAGAGAAATCACAACATAAGCCTTCTAAGATTAAAGGATGCAAGAGAAAAAAATCTGATAGCACACCTGTAGTTCATTCAAAGAAAACTAATGGTGCATCACCTCAGTGTTTCCCCAGAAGTTCTAAAAGAAGAAAGGTCATTGACCAAGTAGAAACCTCTGCACCAGCTGCAAATGGGCGGACAAGTCGCAGAACTCGGAGCAGAAGGGGTGTATCCGAGACTCAGTCACAGGAAGATCAAGATGGAAACACAAATGAGGAATCATCCCACCTGAATGATGATGAAAATAGTACACATGGGAATTCTACAGACTCTTCAAAACTTACAGAAACTGAAACTTCATTTACAGTTCAGAACATTTCATCTTCACTTAAAAGTGATGCTGAGACCGAACTTAAAAAAGTTGATTCTGTTCATGTAAATAATGAAGAGTGTAAGGAAGGTGTTGGTGAGGATCAAAAGAAATGTGACAGCGTGGTTCAGGAACATTCAGAGAAAGGAAGTGAAGGTCAGCATTCAGAAACTGACAGTGAGGCATGCAAAAATGAGGTTCAACTGCATGCAGAACAGAGTGAGGTTCAAAAGCATTCAGATGAAAAAAGAGAATCAAACATAAAAGAAGTTCAGGATCTTTCTGAAAAAAATCAGCAACATCCAAATAAACAGAAACAATCAAAGGAGAAAAAGGAACAAAAACAGCCCATAGAGGAAGAGGAAGAAAACGAGTTAATAGAGGAAGAGGAAGAAAAAGAATCATTAGAGGAAGAGGAAGAAAAAGAGTCTATAGAGGAAGAGGATGAAAAAGAGTCAATAGAGGAAGAGGAAGAAAAAGAGTCAGTAGAGGAAGAAAAAGAGTCACTTGAGGAAGAAAAAAACTCAGTAGAGGAAAATGATGCCTTAATAGAAGAAGAGGAAAGAAAGTCAATTGGGGATGAAGAAAAAGAGTCAGTAAAGGAAGAAGACTCATTAGAGGAAGAAAAGGAATCAGCAGAGGAAGAGGAGCAGCAGCATTCTGAAGACCAAAAAGAAACAGTAAAAGAAGACCAAAAAGAGTCAACAGGGAAAGAAGGAAAAGAGTTGGTAATGGAAGAGGCAAAAAGGGAATCATTAGAGGAAGGGGCAGAGGAAGAGGCCAAAACAGAGTCAATAGAAGAAAGAGAATCAGTAGAGGAAGAGGCCAGAAAAGAGTCAGTAGAGGAAGAGGAAAACAAAGAGTCAGTAGAGGAAGAGGAAAATAGAGAGTCTGTAGAGGAAGAGGAAAGCAAAGAGTCAGTAGAGGAAGAGGAAAACAAAGAGTCAGTAGAGGAAGAGGCAGATAAAGACACAATAGAGGAACATGGAGAAGAAGACACAGTAGAGGAAGAAGCAGAAAGAGAGCCAATAGAGAAAATGGAAGAAGAGCTAATAGAGGAAGAGGAGCAGGAATATTCTGAAGACCAAAAAGAGTCAGTAGAGGAAGAAAAAAAAGAATCAGTAGAGGAAGAGGAACAGCAACATTCAGAAGACCAAAGAGATTCAAAAGAGGAAGACCAGAAAGATTCAATAAAGGAAGAGGAACAAAAAGGACCAGCAGAGAAAGTGGAACAAATAGAGTCAGAAGAAGAGGAGCAGATTGAGTCAGTAGAGAATGAGGAACAAAAAGAGTCAGTAGAGAATGAGGAGCAAAAAGAGTCAGTAGAGAATGAGGAGCAAAAAGAGTCAGTAGAGAAAGAAGACAAAAAAGAGTCAATAGAGGAAGAGGAAGAACCACATTCTAAAGGCCAACAAGTGCCAATAGAGGAAGATGCTCAAGAAGATTCACTAGAAGATGAGCAAAAAGAGTTAATAAAAGGAGAACAGCATTCTGAAGAATTAGGCGAGTCATTGGAGAAAGAGGTTCAGCAACATTCTGAAGAAGGCAGATCATGCAAGGAAGACATTCAGGAACATTCTGAAGATCAAGGGGAGTTATACATGAAAGAGTCTCAAGAATATAGTAAGCCATGTAAAGAAGAAGTTCGAAAACATTCAGAAAAAAACAGCGAGTCATGCAAGAAAGATGCTGAGGAATATTCTGAACAAAGTGAGTCATGTAAGGAAGAGGTTAAACAATGTTCTGAAAAACAGAATGAACTGTGCAAGAAAGAGGGCAAGGCATGTGAGGAGAAGGTTCAGCAGCATTCTGAAAAGCAAGAGGAGTTGTGCCAGGAAGACATTCAGGAAAAATCTAAAGAAAAGAATGAGAAGGTAGAGGAGGAAATTGAGCAATGTTCTGATAAACAGAAAGAGTCATCCAGACAAGGGGTTCAGGATCATTCTGAAGAACAGCACAGCAAATCAGTGGAAGAAGATATTGAGCAGCATTTCGAAAAATGTGAAAAATTATGTGATGAAGAGGCGCATGAACATTCTGAAGATGAAAGTAAGTCATTCAATGAAGATGTTCGACAACATTCTGAGAAGCAAAATGAGTCATGCAAGGAAGATGAGCATCATTCTAAAAAACAAACAAAGCTGTGTGAGGAAGAGGTTCAACAACATTCTGAAGAGAAAATAAAGCCAGTAGAGGAAAAGGTCCAACAGCATTCTAAAGAAAGTGAGCAAATGGAAGAGGAAGTTGAACAGCAATCTGAAAAATCAAGTGGGTCATGTCACAAAAAAATTCAGCATCACTCTGAACCAGAAGAGTCATGCAGGGAAGTTGTTCTCAAAAATTCTGAAGAACAGAGTGAATCATGCAAAAAAGACATTCATCATCTTTCTGAAAAACAAAATGAGTCATGCAAGAAAGAAGCTGAACAAGATTCAAAAAATCAGAGAGAAGCATATGAGAGAGAGGTTCAGCAACGTTCTGAAGAGCAAAGCAAGTCATTAGATAAAGAGGTTAAGCAGTGTGACGAGGAACAAAAACAAATGTGCAAGAAGAAGGAAGAAGTTCAGCAACATTCAGAAGAAGAGAATTTGCATGAGGAAGAGGTTCAGCAATATTCAGAGGAAAAAGATTCACACAGGGAAGATGTTAAGCAACATTCTGAAGTAGAAAAAGAATCATGCAAGACAGAGATTCAACATAATTCTGAAAAGCAAAAAGAGCTTAGTGAGAATATGTTAAATAATTCTCAAAAGCAGACAGAAGCATGTGAAAAGAGTCAGGAAAAATCTGAAAAGCAGAGTGTGTTGTGTGAAAATGAAAAGATTAATAAACAAGATAAAAGTGTTCCTTTATTGAATAGTGCAGCCACCAGTCAGAAGAGTTTAGTGGCAACAAGCCAACTCTGTTCCTCAGATGAAGTCGAGTCAAGGACGTGTGACACAAATATCAAAGGTGATGTATCAAATGCAACCCCAGCAGCCAGTTTGCCTACAAATACAGTAGTTCTAGTCATGGGGAAAGTTCAAAGTGGAGACAATTTAGTGCCGAGTCCTCAGATTCTGGAAGTCCAGAAGTAAAGTCTTCAAAGAAGGCCAGATTAAGTGAAAGTGTACCTGACATGTTTATAAATAAGAAAATTATAAATTGTGAAAAAAATTTATATAGAGGAAAGTGTGAGGGAAGCAATTAACAAGAAAGACCGAAATGTGTAAACTAAAAAACTAGGTGTGGAGGGTGAATTAGAATGGACACTGTGACATAGGCATTAACCTTCTTAGAATACCTGGGCCTTACGAAGCAGCAGACCTTTGAAGTTTGTTCAGTTATTCCAGCTTGTGTGAAAGGTAAGACATCTTAAATCTATATACTGCTTTAATATTGTGTTTTAGGTAAAGTAATTTGTAAAGATAATTTTTAGCAGTAGTATAATAAAAATGTAATACAGAAAAATTACATACAAGAAATTCTGTTATTAATTTAATCTTTCTATTGTAATTATTTTGGTTTCACACTAGGTAAGAAGTATTGACTTTTACAAATTCGATAGAGACATACAGTGAACCCCCAGTTATCGACCGTAATCCGTTCCAGGAGGTCAGCCGGTAACTGAAATGGCCAATAACTGAATTAATATTTCCCATAAGAATTAATGGAAATACAATTAATCTGTTCCAAACAAAAATATTCACAAAAAAATTCTTCTTAACAATTATGTGTTACATACCTTTATTGAAGGCTAATGCTGACTTCTGGAAGATAGGGAGGAGGAAAGAGGAAGGAATTAGTGTTTGGAAGGGAAATCCCCCTCCATAAAGACTAGGTAGCAAATCCTTCTCTGGGGTTACTTCCCTTCTCTGTCTTTTATTGCCGCTAGGACCAGCTTGAGAGTCACTGGACCCCTGTCTCACAAAATAACTGTCCAGAGTGCTCTGTTTCTGGCATCTCTAAGATTTCCCTAAAGTGGGACAGGGTTTCGTCACTAAACATGGGAGATATGGCTTGTTTCAGCTTTGTCAGGGTGGTGTTTCTCTACAAAAGCTTGCACCCTAGTCCACATTGCGCACACCTCTTTAATCTCTGAAGAAGGCACCTCCTTCACTCCCTCTTCCTCCTCCTCTGAAGCAAGTTCCTCAGCTGCAGTCTGTTGCTGTTCGAGATGAAGCTCTTGCAGCTCTTCAGTCGTTAGCTCTTCCCTGTGGTCCTCCACCAACTCTTCCACATCCTCGCCACTCACCTCCAACTTCAGGGACTTCCCCAGTGCCACAATAGAGTCCACAGGGTCAGGGTCAGCCTCAAACCCTTCAAAATCTCTCTCTTGGACACAATCTGGTCACAGTTTTCTCCAAGCAGAGTTCAGAGTCCTGGAAGTCACTCCCTACCAAGCCTTACCTATAAGGCTTATGCAATGGAGGATAGTGAAGTGATTCCTCCAGAACTGTCTTAGGGTCAACAGAGTGTCCGAAGTCACTTCAAAGTACTTTTGAAACACTGCTTTTGTGTAGAGTTTTTTGAAGTTTGAAATGACATGCTGGTCCATGGGCTGGATGAGAGGAGTGGTATTAGGGGGCAAGAACTTCACTGTGATGAAACTAAGCTCCTCCAACAATTTGTCTTTCATGTAGGTTTTTTGAAGTTAGAAATGACCTCTGGTCCATGGGCTGGAGGAGAGGAGGGGTGTTAGGAGGCAAGAGCTTCACTTTTATAAAATTGAAGTCCCAAAACACTTGGTATTCCAAGTCTGGAGGATGTGCAGGAGCATTGTCCAGTACCAGGAGGCACTTGAGTGGCAATTTCTTTTCCAGGAGGTATTTTTTCAAACTTGGGCCAAACACATCATTAACCCTTTCAGGGTCCGTCCCGTAGATCTACGACTACGTTCAGGGTCCAAACCGTAGATCTACGCCATGAGCTCAGCTCACTCTGATAAACTGTGAGTGGTACATTTGGGCCTAGATATGAGAGAATGCATCTATGTGGTATGTGTGCACCACATAAAAAAATCCTGCAGCACACTGTGTATAATGAGAGAAAAAAACTGAGACCATGATTTTCTATTAAAACAGCGACTTTGCAGTGTTTTTTCGTATGTTTTTATACAGTACAGTGAACCCCCGGTTAACGATATTTTTTCATTCCAGAAGTATGTTCAGGTGCCAGTACTGACCGAATTTGCTCCCATAAGGAATACAGTGGTCCCTCGTTTTTCGTAGCTCTCGGGAATCAAAGATTTCGGAAATCATAGGGATATTTTTGTATAAACATGGGCTCACTAATCAAAGGTTGACTCGCGAATAGTAGTTCGTCCAGGACGTATACGCACGGTGTGAGCCGGGGCTGCCTTCCTACCCAGCCAGTCTGGCATTGTTTACCAGTGAGCAAAGGTCCCCTCACATGCTCCTACGAAATATTTCATAATATTTCACTCATTTTAGTGCTTGCAAATACTAAATAAGCTACCATGGCTCCAAAGAAAGCTCCTAGTGCCAAGCCTGTGGTAAAGAAGGTGAGAAATCCGATTGAATTTAAGAAAAACATCATTGAACAATATGAAAGTGGCACAAGTGGAAAGATTTATGGAGAAACATCACCCTGACAAGGTTGTTGCAAGCCATGTTGGCAACATGTACAATGACAAAGTCTTGGGCCATTTTAGGGAAGTGTTAAAGAGACGCCAGAAACAGAGCTCTCTCCACAGTTATTTTGCGAGACAGGGCTCCAGTGACTCTCAAGCTGGTCCTAGTGGCATTAAGAAACAGAAAAGAGAAGTAACCCCAGAAAAGCAATTGGTACCTGAGGTGTTGATGGAAGGGGATTCCCCTTCCAAACTATAAACAATCCACTCTC